ATAAATTTGTTGGGATACGATAGGAAGTCATTTCTTTAATCTATTATTTATTTATTTATTATTGTAAAATGAGTAAAAATTTAATGTATTTATTTTTAAAACAATATATATGATTAGGTGGTTTCCTTTTTATTAGAAGAGGAGTGTATAAGGTTGGAGTCCTAAGCCCTAAGATACCGAGGGGTATTATAGTCTTTTAATTTTATATATCTTATTATAAATAAAATAAATACATGTATTCCTTCCACACATTACCTCCTACCAAACATAAAATAAAAACCCCATTCCCAATCCCATTACCATTGCCATTCCCAATCCTATTACCATTCCCATTCCATCAAAATCAATCCCTCCTACCAAACATGGCCTGAGGCTATTCTGTTTGGGGCATCTCAAACGCAATCTCTACAGACCTGACATGGGACGTCTCCTCGGCACATGTACTCTTCATACTCATTGTGAAGCAAATAAATTTAGCTTGCCTAGGCTAACCTCGTAAATTGCTACGAGTTAGCTCACTTTTTTCTCTCTAGAATAATCTTTTAATTTGTTGTGTTATCATTTATATATTAATAAAATAATTATCAAAATTAGATAATATGTTGATATTTAATTTTATTAAATATCAAGATAATTTACATTTAATCCATAAAAGCTTATAATTTAATTTAAAAACTTTACCCCTCATCTGTGGGTTCAGCGAGTGAAGGGGTTGGACTCGCTTACTAAGAGAATAGGTTCAATCCTAGAGCATGTCAAGGCGCTAAGAGAGGCATCTTCAAAGCCAAGGCCCCAGCTCATAAGATGTGATGATCTCCCACATGGAGCTCTCTCCGTCCCAGTTGCTATGGTACTAGGTAGGGCTGAGGCTAAGGGTTAGTTCCCCTACCCTTGAATTGTGAGTGAGCCCAACCACTTTCCTAAAATTTTGATCATAAAAAAAAAAATTTAAAACAACTGTTTGAAAAATGTTAAAAAAATATTTTAAAAAGAAACATGGGTTGACAGGCTAACCCATTAATACATCCCGAACCGACCCGGGTTGACCGAATACCAGTCCACAAGGAAGGTGGGATTTCGAGCCCAGCCTATCAAAATTGTAGTGAGTCAAACAGCAACCCACGAGTTAACCTATATTATTATTGGCCCACACAGTACAAACACACCTCGAAAGCATTTTGACGGCCTTTGTTTTCACGTTTTCTTCAAAAACATAATTTCAGTTCTTCATAATCAAACAACATAAATATGTGAGTTTCTTTTTTTTTTTCAATTGAAAGAGGCAAGCAAAGCTTGTTACATAAAAGAGATTAGACAAGAGGAAAGTCTAACTCTTGTCCAGTGCATATTGAGTTCCACTCGCCACATGTGCTGTCTTGCCCAGAAGATTAGCACAGGCTAAAGCTTCTCTGTGAACATGCGAGTTTCTTAAACCGACTCACCAACGCTTTTGTCCCCGAAGAAGCTCTGGCCTCGTTCCCAACCCAAAAGCACCAGTTCAAAGAAAAAAAATCCCCGCTGACATATCCCTAACAGTTTTTCATAGTATATATGTGATTTAATTCACGTGGCTTATCAACGGGTTGGGTTTAATATAAGAAGTTAGTTCCTCACAACATAGTAAACCAACGTTCGAATTTCTGTTAGAAAGATGCTCATATTTGATGTCCACAGCATCTTAAATAGGATTGTCTTCAATAAAAAAATACATATACATAGTTTTAAAAAAATTGCGTGGCTTTCTACAAAATTTCCTTGCTTTTCTTTTTGCATGAAATTAAACTTACTTTTAATTATTATAATAAATTTAACAACACTATTAAGTCAATAAAACAAATAAAAATAATGCTGTATTTTTAGCCCCCAGATTCATTCGTTATACAGACGCGGCATCATCGGGAAAATTCCTAGCAGATATTGATTATTTGCCTACATCCCCGTTTTACAATAATAACAAATCTAATTTTTTCTTTTAAATATAAATTGGAGTGGTATTTTTATGTATTTTGTTGGTATGAAACATGGTCAAAATTACCATAATTACATTAATTCAGTTATATGTAAGCATTTTTCATAAAGTATTAAATGTATCAAAGAAGATCCTTGCATCTTCGGAACAAAAATTGAAGATTAAAAAGGCTAGGTAGAGGAGAGAATCCTCTTCCTAATGTATACATTACAGCCCACTCACTTTATCAGTTTCAAGTTCAATACCGGATCCAGCGCCCAGAGAGAAACAAAGTGAAGAAGCCGGAGATCTATTTTCCCTTTTTGTTTGCATCTTCAAATTAAAGATAAAAAGGGCTAGGTAATGTAATATTTATACTCCTTCGGTTTTAAATATAAAATTTATTTTGTAGTATAATTTATACTATAAAATAGGTTTTACATTTAGGACTGGAGGAGTATATCTCAGTAATAAATGTTATTAGTCTCACTTATTCTTTTTTAAAAATACATATCACCGTCACTAACCCTCATGTCACATGTATATTTCAAATATTATACTATAGAGAATAAATTAAAAGAGTATTTTATTTAACGAGCTAGGTTACTCAAAAATATCTCTGATATGAAATTATCGTCATAAACAATAGCATATAACGTTTGCAAATTTAAAACCATTTGTAGTAATATCTATTTTCATATAATAATTGTTACAATACACAATTTAATTTGAGCCGCTGGGAGATCTTATGTGTATGTCCGCATGTGAGCATCAGAGATTTCGTCTGTACAAGTGCTTAAAAAATGTATACCCAACACCCTGAACTATTTTTATAGGTGCATCTATTACTCTAAAGTATTTAGTAGTACAATTTTACGCCTAATGTATTTAAAATGGTGCAAACAACACCCTAAGTTAACATACCATTAACCTCCGTTGTCTCCCTTCAAAGCTGGGTCTCTCTCTCCCCCTCAACTGGCTCCATCCTCTAGCCCAATCGGCCCCTCTCTATCCCCCAATCGTTGCTGAAGATGATGATGATGGATCAGATAATAAAATATTAACTATGGAGCGTTATGCATCAACTCATAGACAAGCAAAAACCTATGGCGATTTCTGCCAGAGGAAAAGCCGATGGCGGAGACCCCGTGCTGAGAGTGAAGCCTCAAGGTGAAGAAGAGCCTGTTTCGAAATAAACTCAGAGAGGTGAGCAAAAAGATAGGTGGAATCAATGTCATATTAGAGGGATTATATCATAGGTGAGATAATACTCTTAAAGTTCCTAGTAATTTCTCCATCACATTCGGTCCAGCATCACATTAGAGGATCAGAAAAATTCGAAATTGCCTTTATATTATAACCTATAAAATTAGACACTAACACCCACATGTTAATTTTCGGGAAGAATTAGGGCCTACCCCTACCTTGCTGATTTTGCGACAAAACATTGTGCAAGACTTCTAGAATCTTCAAATTCTATGTCTGCATTTGAATTTTTTTTTATTATTCGTAACATATGAGATCTTTTTTGCCATTAAAACCAGTGAGATTTTGATCATTGTCATTATCGCACAGTAAACTCTCTTCCCCTTCAATTGGTGTCTTCGTTTTTGTCCCCGTGAAATGGTGAGTTACAGAGCCCCTGTTCATCTGGCATTTTACCCCCAAATGTCACTGTCGCAGAACGAAGTCGCCACTGGTGATCCTTCAGAGTTCAATGTTAAGTTTAGGAGCCATGACGATGATGCATGCTACTCCATCAGGGTTGTGCTAGAGCAGGAAGAAATTGATAATGCAGTTCTTGAACTTCAACAACGGTCATGATAAAATAATTTTTGTTCATCATCGTCTTCTTCAACAGCGAAAGGGAAGAGATTCAACGCCAATTGAACTAGAAAATGGTGGGGGAGAGAGTGAGATGCAGCTGTGAAAGCCCATTATTGAAAAGGAGAAAACGGACGTTAATAGAATGTTAACTAAGGGTGAGAATTGCTCCATTTTTAATAGACTGGGGGCGAAATTGCCCCACTAGATACTTTAGGGTGTTAGGTGCATCTCAAAAAATAATTAAGAGTGTTGGGTGCACCTTCACCCTAAAACTTTTTATTTAATTAAAAATTTATGTATTTAGTTACAGGAATGATACGTTAATTCGTGGGGACTATAAATATAAATTATTGAATGCATATCTTAAAAAAATTAAAGGAACGAGATCTTTAAAGTTTAAACAATTAAGTCGGAAACAAACTTTTAATTTTAATTATTTTCAAAAGCTTAAAGCACAAATAGCGTAAAATGACTTCGGTGTTTTTTTTTTGGGAACAAGACAAAATGACAATAAATAAACAAGAGTTTACAAAGTGAATGACTTTGCTGTCTCTAGAGAGAATCCGTGCACTCCCAAATTCTGTATATTTGATGTTTTACTATTGTGTTTCCTAGCTTTGGTAAATGTTTGAGTTCGATATGAGATTTTGGATCTTCGATCTCGTTGGATTCCAACAAGAAATTGAAAAGTCTCCGCAAACAAATTTCAATGCCTTGCGTCGACCTTCTCCATCATCAACCATCTCTTTCTTTGCCAGCCACTGCAATATCTTCTCTCCCTCCAAAGAGATCGAATTGAAATGTGCTGAATAAGAACTCCACAAACTATAGCTGATACCTCATTCCAACACCGCTAACACATTCTTCACCCTTACCATGACGTCTCACAATTTTGTTGCTCTTGTATATTATTAGCTTCCTCTTTCCTCCTGCAATTCCAGCACGGGTTACTTATCTTGACCACATTTGCTCTTCCAACAAAACCTTTGCTGTCAATGGTGCTTTTCAATCGGACCGAACCAAAGTCCTCTCTTCCTTAGCTTCCGCCAACACCAACTTCTACAATGCCACCGTCATCGGTGGCGGTGACACCTTCTACGGCCTCTTCATGTGCCGGGGTGACGTCAACCTCTCGATGTACCACTAATGCGTCGTTAACGCGACCCAACGATTATCTTCCGAGTGCAGAGTTTCGAAGGAGGCAATCATCTGGTACGACGAGTACATGGTTCGCTGTTCGAACCGTTCCTTCTTCTCCACCGTCAAAACAAGGCCTAGACTGTGCCTCTTGAACACCGGCGAAGTGTCCCGACTGAGCTTCTTACAGATATTGTTGAGCACGCTTAACCTGACGGCGGATGAAGCAGCTAACCGCACTAAGAAATATGCCAGGAAAGCAAGCATATCTGGGTTCGGAACTATGTATTCTCTACTTCAGTGCACGCAGGACCTATCATCCCAAGATTGCAGAACTTGTCAGAGTGCTGTGATTGGGGACCTTTCAACATGGCGCTGTTTGGGAAAACAAGGAGGAAGAGTTTTATATCCCAGTTGCAACGTTCGCTATGAATTATATCCTTTTTATAAGTCTGATGATCAGCCAGAAGCGACGGCGCCTACACCCCCTGCACTTTCTCCTCCAACAAGTTCTTCAGATCCTTAGGGTTTGCTTGGTTGGAAGAGAGGGGAGGGAAGGGAGGGGAGGGAAAATGAGCCTCTCTCCTCATTTGGTTAAAAATTCTGGAGGGAAGGGAAGCTAAAATGTCCCCTCCCCTCTCGCCCCATTTTAACTCTCCTCCAAATTGAGGATTTTTGGAGGGGAGCTAAATTTTTGGACCATTATACCCTTATGATTTTTTTAAATATTCTACTACTTTATTATAATATTTATTTCAAATAAAAAATATATTATCCTAAGTAAAAAATAAAAAATATAAATTAATATAATTAAAAAAATATATTATGAAAAAATTATTTACAAATAAAAAATTATTTAAATAAAAATTATAATATTATAAAATTAATTGTTTTTAATAAATATATTATTTATTAAATATATTTTAAAGTTGAAAAAAAGGATAGCCTAAAGAGAATAAAATTTCATTTTTCTTAGAGTATATAAAATTTGTTAATTTGATTATTTTAAATATATTATTATATTAATTAGAATAAAAAATTACTGTACCAATTTTTTAATGCACATATTAACATGATAAGACTGAATTTTTATTAAATTATATAATTTAAATTAAGATGTAAATTAATTTATACAATATATCAATAAAAAATATAAAATAATATGTAAGGGTAAAATAATAAATTGATTATTATTATCCCTCCCTCCTCTCCCCTCTTTGAATGAAACAAGAGATCATTAAATATCCTCCCCTCTTTTCTTTTTTTAATCAAACCAAATAAAGTAAGGATAAAACCTCCCCTCCCCTTCCGTACCCCAGCCTCCCCTCCCTCTCCTATCCTCCCCTCAAACCAAACATGCCCTTAAGGATTATGCTGGTTTTGGCATCAAGATAAATTTTTTAAAAAATAACATGACAGCTGAGGAAAATCGAATCTGATCAGAATGTGAATATGATCCCCTGGTCTGACGGGATATAGTCAATTATCATATGATGTCATTACAGTAAGACGTGGAAGCAAATGTTTTTTTTTTTTTTTTACCTTTTGCAATAAAAGGGAAAGGTCAGTCAACAGGGATTATAGTGATAGTTGTGGTTGGTAGTTTGGGGATAGCTTTTTGCGTCGCCTACTCGTTCCTCCGGTCTAAATTATAAGATCTTATTTATAAACTATAAATAAGATCTTATAATTAGAACCGAAAATAGTATCTCTCGAAGAGTCTAATCAAGAAGAGAGGCAGCGCTCTTCTCAGACAAAAATACTGTAAGTAATTTTTGTTCTCGGACAAATTTTTATTTATTCATAAAATTTGGCTTGTCTAAAGACCTTTTGCATTGATGCTTTCATTGCTTTCAGCATCGTTAACTATTTTCTCTGCGTCTAGTTGGAAATGAAAGCAATGATTTAGAGCCTCTACAATTTAGTTTGGCCACTATTGAAGCTGCAACAAATAAGTTTTCGCATGAAAAATGTTTAGGCCAAGGTGGATTTAGACAAGTTTACAAGGTAACAAGCGTCTACGGCGCCTTCCTCTGCCGTGGAGATCTCACCCCCGACGCCTGCGATGACTGCGCTTCCATAGCAGCCAAACAAATACTCCGAAGGTGTCCATTGGATAAAAAGTCAGTGATCTGGTTCAACGAGTGTATGTTACGTTACTCAGATGAGCCTTTCTTCTCCATCAGTGAAGAAGCCCCCAGGCTTATTTTGATGAATACTGCGGCAAGCTTAAACCAGAGTAGCTTCATGTCGCTGTTGGCTGAGACTATCAACGCGGCGAAGACGGAAGCGGTGAAGGCCGGAGCCGACAAGAAGTTTGCTACAAAAGAAGCCAAATTTTCTACTTTTCGAACGCTGTATACGCTAGCACAGTGCACGTCGGACTTAACAGAAACTACCTGCGAAACATGCTTAAAACGAGCAAGTTCGACCTTACCCAGTATCCTGCAAACTAGTTGTATTGTCCAATATGAAACGTACCCGTTCTACCAATCATCGCCGGTGATCACCCCACAAGAATCAACTCCAAAGGTGTTTTTGGAGAGTCCTGTGCATTGTTTTTTTACTTCTCCCACTTATTAGTTTTGTCGACTTTAAGTGGTAATATACCGGAAACCGATCGACCAATTAATTTGAGCAGGAAAAACCCGGATTTCTGTAGCCGTAGTCCTGGCGATTGTGGCTCCAATTATGACTGTTTTGCTGCTTTTCCTCCTTCTCTGCTGGTTAGTAACTAGAAGGGCAAGCAAGAAGCACATATTAGTGCCACCAGCTGAAGAAAACGATGGTATGATTCAGAAAAAAATGGCGTTTTATTTGTGATTCACTCGGTACTTCCACATTTTGCTAGCTTAGCTGCTGTGAAACTTTTTATATATGCTAGTGGCATCGATGATTCAATCTATTATAAAATCCTTGACCCAACAATGTGAAACTCGGAAGGCCTTCAGCTTTAAGTTTACTCTGGCTGCTAATGTGCAGTTGAAATTTCCAGAGTGGAGCGCTTGCAGTTTGATCTGGAAACAGTCAGATTGGCCACAAACAACTTCTCCCATGAAAATAAACTAGGCGAAGGAGGATTTGGTGAGGTTTTCAAAGTATTTTATTTGTTCCCTGTAAAAATTTGAGACAATTTGGTTTTGGGTTCAGAGCTCCTCAAAGAATGTACGGTATTTTCAGGGATCTCTTCCTAATGGGCAAGATATTGCAGTGAAGAGGCTTTCATTAAGCTCTAGGCAAGGTGTAGAAGAATTCAAGAATGAGGTGGTCTTAGTGGCCAATCTTCAACACAGAAACCTCGTTAGGCTATAGGGGCTTTGCTTGGATGGAGAAGAGAAGATCCTCATATATGAGTTCATTCCCAACAAGAGCTTGGATCATTTTCTTTTCAGTATGTCATTCATAAATAAGCTTCTTTAATTTGAATTTCTTTCCCCCTTTGATACTGCATATTAATCTCTTCATTTCTTTTGATGATGATCAGAATGCTCAATGGACCAAAACAATACAAGATTATACAAGGAATTGCTCGTGAAATACTTTATCTTCATGAAAACTCTCGGCTTAGAATCATACACCATGATCTTAAAACTAGTCATATATTATTGGATGAGAATTTGAATGCAAAAATTGTAGAGTTTGGTATGGCAAAATTTTTTGGTCCTGATCAAACTCAAGGGAATACAAATAGAATTGTGGGAACATTGTGAGTTCGATCTCCTTTTTCTTTTATTACTTTGTCCTATTGTCCTCTGTTCAATTTAAATACATAATATTTTGATATTAAATGTTTATGAAATATTCACCATGTCAAGTTTTATATTTTGAATTTGACTTTGTTTATAGCGGTTATATGCCTCTGGAATATGCAATACATGGGAATCTGTCTATAAAAGTGGATGCATATAGCTTTGGCGGTTGATCTTGGAAATAATAAGCGGACAAAAGAGCACATCCTTTCAAAAATCCAACTGCGATGAACATCTCCTGAACTATGAGTTTGGAGCATCTTTGTATTTGTTCTCTGTCGCTCGCTCTGTTTCTGGTTTGACTTCAATCCTGTAATTCTTTTGCAGGCCTGGAGGAAATGGAAAGATGGGACACCGTTGGAAGTGTTAGACGTGAGTTTGAGAGATTCTTATAATAGAGAGGAAGTGAGAAGATGCATCCAGATTGCATTAACGTGTACAAGAAGATCCAGCTCACAAAGGCCAACAATGCAGACAATAGTTCTGATGCTCAATAGTCACTCAGTTAGCGTAGCAATACCTGAGAGGCCTCCATTTTTGGTTCAAACCAGAACTGTTGAGCTCAGCCTTCCATCGAACTCACAGATAAGTCTTCTCAAAGCAAATCAGCCTCATACTTTGTTGACGAAGCCTCCTGTAATGAACGGAGCGGACGGCCCAATACAAGGTCCCATAACAACCCATGAAGAAATGGATGCGGCCAGGCCCAGACGAAGTTAGAGAATGAGAAGAAGAACCTGGAAGCTGAGGGACCTAACCGAATCAGCATAAAAGGATCAGAGTTGGTTAGAGAGGGCAGGATTGGTTTTGATTCAGAATCTCTCTCTGTGGTCTTTCTCTCTCCTCTGTGGCTTCTTTCTATTTCTCTCTCTGAAAATCCTTTCGACCCTGTTGCATTACCGATTACGTCGCTGTTGCTTGATATATATTTGTATTGGCTGAGGTTACAACTGTAACAGATTCATTAATAGAAATATACATTCAGCCTCTTGATTTTGTGATCATAACAGATTTGGTGCTTTCCTTGAGAGGGAAACGATGGCTGACAACACTAGAATGAAGGAGCTACAAGCTGAACAGAGGAAAACTGTAACACCTCACATAATTTTATCAATATACGCAACAAAATATTTAATTTAAAAGTCCATACATATTTCTAATACTTCAAACAATTCAAAATTTCAAAATATTTCTAACATAACAACAAAATAAACTATTAAAGTCTTATAGTCATGGCAAATAAAAATATAACATAACATGTGTTGAGGAGTACAAAAGCCTTCACGGCTCACTCCATTGGTGCCTTCCCTTGATTCCTACTAGATCCTTCGCCTGAAAATTGTTAATATAGAGGGTGAGATCAAACGTCTCAGTAACTACTGAAATTCTAACCTATACAAGCAAACCATATATGATAAATCAAAAATCTATTTATAGGTCTGTGTATATGTATATATTAAAAATAACAGATTTGATACATTCAATTCAATTTCATTTTTTTTTTCAATATATCCAAAAATAATGCAATATGTTGCCTCCCTTATATCACCGTCCACCCTTATACCGCTGACTGGAGCCATAGGCTAACACATAGTCTGATAGGAACTAATCCATTTTACTGAATTATTCCAAGCTCACCGATACAAGAGATATATCCGGCCAAAGATATAGAGCTCAAGCTCGGACTATGGCTCCCCTCCTTTGTGAATAGGGAGGTGTCACATGTCCCATAGCTCCAATGAATTCCCGACCAAAGGAAAACATGGAAGAAGGGGCCCTGACAAGTGCCATCCACTGTGCACCGAGTGATGGCATACCACGTGGTAATTTTATATCCATGCAATCTCCTTCTATCCTTAGCCCAACAATGCATGTCAGATGCCAATAATGTTACATCATAAATACGTCCTCAAATATTTTAAAGATAAGATAGCAATTAAACTTATATACCATTTAATAGCAACTCATGACAATTCCTTAGCCATCAATATATTTAAACATTGATGATAATTAATAGCAATAAATCTTAACAAAATCAAATAACGTATCAAAACATTTATTTGAAATCATAATACTACTTTTCAGTATGATATAAAAATTAGTAAATTCACAATATAATCATACACAATTCACATGTACAAGAAAGAATTTTCAGAGTTACCTGGTACTCTTTAGCTTACAAATATTCATATAAAGATTACTCCAAAATTCTCAAGTTTACAAAATTGCACGTAAATATTTATTAATATAAACTCAGAACTACTCCAAAGCTACTCTAAAATTCTAAGACTACCTTCTAAACCAAAATTACATAAATATATTAACTCTCCCAAATCTAGGCATTTATAATAATTATTATTTTGAAAAATAATTTACATACAAGGCTATTTAAATTTAACAAAAGTATATATATATATTTATTACCCAAAATCTAAATATTTTATATTAAAATTCTCAATTATTTATTATAATCTCATTTAAAATTTTTACTCAAACCAAACAACTTCTTTTTAAATTATAAACAAACTGTAGCTTTATCTAATTTTACAAAATTCTCAATTTATAATTTTTCAAGCCTTCAAAAATTATTTCAAAAATATATATTTAATTTATTCAATATTTAAACCGATTAAAACCTCACTAATATATTAAATAACTCAAATAAATTATTTAACTCAAATTTAATCGGTAAAAACATATTACAAGTCTAAATAACAAACTTTTCAACTAAAATCTTAGTTTAAAATTCTCAAAATAATCATTCAACAAAAATAAACCGATTAAAATTCCTTAATAATGTATCTTTAAATTTCTACGGTCATATATTGTCAAAACTCCATATTTACTCTATACCCAGACAGTAAAATTTTCTCTAAACATTGTAATGATACTAATAATATAAAGTTCTAAATATATAGGAAATACTCATAAAGAAAATATGATAAAAAGAAGCATATTTATGTACCTAAATGATCCCCAAATCTTGCCTTGTCCTTCTAACAACACGTACTTTCACTCACTCTTTTGTTTTCTCTCTGTCTTTCGCCCTCTCCTTCTCTTTTCTCACTCTCTCTTTCTCTTCCGTCTCCTGCTCCCCCTCTTTTAAACTCACTCCTCCCAACTTTCAACTATCCATCCTCCTGTTTTCTTCATTCATTTATTGTTTCCCCCAAATTCTTCCTTCATCCGTTCCTTTCTTTCTTTTTCTTGCTCCATTTAATACTCCTCCCTTCTTTTCAACTTACACCACTCCCTTCCCCCATCTTCTCCCTTCTTAATAAATCCCCCCCCCAAATTTCAACTCTCCGTGGAAAAGGGGGGTTGATTTTTTTTTCCTTTACTAATAAAATATTATATATATATTTTGATTTGCAAAATTTTTTTTTATTTAAAAAAAGTATGTTACAAAAACCAACGAGTTTATTGAAGATGCCAAGGAGCGTTTCAGCAAGATAGAAGGCATGTTCGAGAAAATGATGCTGCGAATGGATGCCATGCATCAGAAGATTGAATCCTCTAGAATACATTCCCTAGAAGGATCGCTTTCATCTGAAATACTCGTTATGCAACCAGTAGCTTATGTAAGCAAGCAGATCAGGATGGATTTTCCTCGCTTTGATGGGACTGATGCTTTGAACTGGATATTTAGAGCCAAGCAGTATTTCAGATTGTATGAAGTACCGGATGCGCAGAAGTTAATCATCGCCTCGGTTCATTTTGACGGGAGGTATTACCGTGGTTTCAAATGATGGAAAAGGCTAACCGGATTCCTTCATGGTTTGCTTTGACAGCTGCGGTGGAGCAACAATATGGTCCCTCGGAGTTTGATTGTGCCCGATCACAACTCTTTAAACTGACTCAACGAGGTGCATTAGATGACTACCACGAGAAGTTCATTGCCCTTTCCAATCGAACGGAAGGTATTTTGGAGGCGGCCTTACTGGACTGCTACTTAGGTGGACTAAAACCGGAACTGAAGCGAGATGTGTTGGTGCACAAACCCAATACGGTTCTCAAAGCCATGTCACTAGCCCATCTTTTCACAGAAGCTACTGATTACGGATATCGTCAAAGTCGCGTGGCGAGGGTTATGGAGGGGGTAGCTACCAGAGTAAACACGTGAGTAGTAACTCCCAGAACACGGCGAGCTCGACGGTCATTAATAGTGGTGGAGGAAAAACTAATTTGCCGCCTCTGCTACCCACACCGAATAGACCACCAATCAAACGGATAACGCCGGCTGAGATGCAGGTGAGAAGGGAAAAGGGTCTCTGTTATACATGCGACAAAAAGTTCTCCCCGATGCATAAATGCACAAACAAGCAATTGATGATGCTGCAGTGTGAGGATGAACGGCTGGAAGAAGTTGAGGTAGAAGCTGATGAGACCTTTGTGGAAAGCACGTTACACCACTTATCAGTACATGCGATGAGAGGGACCCAAGGGCCAGCTACAATCCGTTTTAACGGATCGATACAGGGCACCAAGGTACAGATCCTGCTTGACGGAGGAAGTTCGGACAATTTTTTACATCCTCGGATAGTTCAGCATCTCCGATTACCGGTGGAATATACTACAGAAGTTCGAGTGGTAGGGGGACTTGACAAGAAAATAAGAAGGACCAATCAAATGGTTACAGAGGTCCCAGTGCAGATAGGAGAGAATGTTATACCTGTGACCATGCTCGTCTTGCCGATCGTTGGGGTGGATATGATCATGGGGGCCGATTGGTTGAAAACGTTAGGACCCCACGTGGCGGACTACAGCTCGTCCACTATCAAATTCTTATCAAATGGTCACTGGGTAATATTGAAAGGATTCCGTGGGAACTCGATTTCACAGGCAAGTGTTCATCACCTCACCCACCTGCAACAGACCGATGCTTGGGCAGAATGCTTCATGGTAGAACTCATAGGCCCTTATACAATGGACATACCCGCTGATGTACCTCCTGATTTAGCTCAGAAATTGCGACATTACAGCTCTGTTTTCCAAAAACCACACGGATTACCTCCATCTCGGGGACATGAACATCGAATTGAGCTCCTTCCGGGAACCCAACCAGTGAAGGTTCGGCCATATAGGTACCCGGTCAGCCAGAAAACAGAAATAGAGAAAATGGTAGAAGAATTATTGTCAGAGGGGATGATCCAACCTAGTAGCAGTCCCTTTTCTGCTCCCGTAATATTGGTCAAGAAGAAGGACTGTACTTGGCGATTTTGTATTGATTATCGAGCTTTGAATGCCGTAACCGTTAAGGATGCTTTTCCAATGCCCATTGTAGATGAACTAATCGATGAATTACATGGGTCTGTGTATTACTCGAAACTAGACCTTAGATCGGGGTACCACCAGATTTTGACGAGAGAGCAGGACAGGGAGAAGACAGCGTTCAGGACACACCAAGGGTTATATGAATGGATGGTTATGCCCTTCGGGCTCACCAATGCACCGGCAACATTTCAGGCACTTATGAACTATCTCTTTAAACCATATCTGCGGCGCTTTGTGCTCATTTTTTTTGACGACATTCTGGTTTACAGTGCCACTTGGGAGTTGCACCTGGATCATGTAGAGATTGTACTAGACACACTGGCTAGACACCAGTTATTCGCTAAAATGACCAAGTGTGTATTTGGGCAATGCCGTATTGATTACTTGGGACATGTCATATTGAAGAAGGGAGTAGAAATGGATGAGTCCAAGATAACAGCTATTAAGCAGTGGCCAGTTCCACAGAATGTTACACAACTGAAGGGGTTCCTGGGACTAAGTGGATATTACTGACGGTTTATTCAGGGGTACGCTCAAATTGCAAGCCCTTTGACAAAATTACTGACCAAAGATGGGTTCCGATGGAATGATGAGGCCCACCTGGCTTTTGAAACTCTAAAAGAAGCGATCGTCCATGCCCCAGTGTTAACTCTACCAGATTTCTCCAAACCATTTGTGTTGGAAATAGATGCTTCAGGGGTGGGAATTGGGGCCGTGCTTAGTCAGGAGGGACGACCTGTCGTATTTTTCTCAAAAAAATTATCCACCAAGATGCAAGCACAATCGGTGTATGTCCGAGAGCTGTTCGCAATCACAGAAGCTGTCGCTAAGTTCCGTTAGTACCTCTTTGGCCATTATTTTGTGATTCGCACAGATCACACTAGCTTGAAGCATTTAGGCGACCAAGTGATCTAGACTCCAGAACAAGAGGCATTCCTACCCAAGTTGCTCGGTTACCGATTTGACATTGAGTATAAACCAGGAAGGCATAACCAAGCCGCAGACGCTCTGTCTCGAGTTTCTTGCATGGCTCTTTCTTCATTACAGAACACGTTCATGGACAGGGTGTACGAGAAGGTGCGTACCTCAACCTGGACTCAAGAATTAAAGAACAAGATTATGCAAGATCCAACTATGACAGGTGACTATCAACTGAAGCAAGCCGATTTATATTGGAGGAACCGATTGGTGATCCCTCATGATGTCCCTGAACTAATTAACGACATCCTATATGAATTCCATGCTTCGTTCTTGGGAGGACATGCTGGCTATCTCTGCACTTTTCATCGAATTGCCCGGTTATTTTACTGGCCCCGGATAAGATAGAGTGTGCGCCAATATGTGCGATGTTGTACTGTTTGTCAACAAGCTAAAGTGTCTCACCTGCATCCCGCAGGGCTATTGGACCCACTACCCATCCCGGAAAGAATCTGGGAAGACATTGCTCTAGATTTCATTACCGGACTACCCCCAGTGAAGGGACACTCTGTTATTATGGTCGTGGTGGACCGATTGTCAAAGTATGGTCACTTCATATCATTACCGGCTACTTTCACGAGTCATATGGTAGCGGAGGCTTTCCTCCAAAATGTTGTCAAGCTGCATGGGATCCCAAATACCATTGTCTCTGATTGAGACCGTACTTTCACAAGTTCTTTTTGGCGTCACTTGATGAGGTTGCAAGGCTCCACTCTCTGTTTTTCGTCAGCTTACCACCCCCAGTCAGACGGTCAAACAGAAGTACTCAACAAAAGCCTCGAGCTCTATCTCCGGTGCTTTGTGCATGAGCATCCACGGCTGTGGCTGCAGTATTTGCCGTGGGCGGAATATTGGTACAATACCTCGTTTCAGACAGCAATTGGCATGGTTCCTTTTAAAATCGTGTACGGGAGGATGCCCCACCAGTATTACGGCATACCACTCAAGAAGATACACCAAAAGATGTCTACCAACAGCTCCAGTAGAGGGATGAGATATTGGAAACACTTAAGAAAAACTTACAGCGAGCTCAAGAAAATTAAAGATGCGATACTATGCTAATCAGAAACGAACAGACATCGAATTTCTGGTGGGGGACTTCGTTTGGAATGGCCCCAATTCCATGTTCTGGAGCGCATCGGCAAGGTCGCTTATAAATTAGAGTTTCCTGCAAACGCTAAGATCCATCCCGTTTTTCATATTTCTCTTCTGAAGAAATTCGTCGAGAACAATGAGTTACAGCCATCAATTCCCCTTCCTTTATTATCTCTGCCGGAAGGACCTGTGGTACAGCCTGGAATTATTCTGGGTACACGTTTCGTCCAACAAGGCGACAAGTGGGTGCAGCAGTGCTTGGTTCAGTGGAATGGCCCCACCCCGAATTCATGGGAAGATAGAGATCGGTTATTGAACTTGTATCCTGACTTGGACCTTGAGGACAAGGTCCTGGTTAATGGGGGGAGTGATGTAATGAATGGACCAGACGGCCCAATACAAGGTCCCATAACAACCCATGAAGAAATGGATACGGTCAGGCCCAGACGAAGTCAAAGAATGAGAAGAAGAACCTGGAAGCTGAGGGACCTAACCGAATCAGCATAAAAGGATCAGAGTTGGTTAGAGAGGGCAGGATTGGTTTTGATTCAGAATCTCTCTCTGTGGTCTTTCTCTCTCCTCTGTGGCTTCTTTCTGTTTCTCTCTCTGAAAATCCTTTCAACCCTGTTGCATTACCGATGACGTCGCTGTTGCTTGATATATATTTGTATTGGCTGAGGTTACAACTGTAACAGATTCATTAATAGAAATATACATTCAGCCTCTTGATTTTGTGATCATAACACCTCCATCACTCAAGTGTACCCTTGATAGCTTATCTGTTGTTCTCTTTACCAACGTGTGGATTGTGGAGGTTCGTTTGGATTCTTATGTAAGATCAGAAGAATATTAATAGCAAAAAAGCATCTGTCCACTTCATGGAAGAGATCCGAATTTATTGAGTGATATAAAAAAGAATTAATGCATACAAACATATATCTATATCTATACATATATGGGATTGTTCATGTCAATCTTGTGTGTCTGATACAAATATGTAAATGAAACACCATTATTAAACGTACATAGGCAAGAAGCAAACGTACGTTAAACCCGTTGTAGTTGATCATTGCTGGCCATTGTCGTGAAATCCCATCCCAACTACGGAATTCTGAATCATGCGTGTTAATGTAATAATAAAGTTACTTCGTTTACATTATTATATATCAAGTGCATTGGAGAAAGATGTGTAGTTTCTCTGGTATATCAAGAAACAGATTGATTTGAGACCCATCTTGCAATATTTTAGAATTTCGTCAAAGGCACAGTGGTTGTATCAGATTTGACAAATTATAAACAAAATATTATAGTTGGCTAAAAAGGAATCAACATTGGGGTCCCTCATAGGGTGCTAGATAAAAGGAAAGAACCATTAAAAAACACCCCACTAGATAATCATTAAAGCCTTCTGTCGGCCAAATTTTCTTCTTATTCAGAGTATACATCCCCAGTTGTTCGTTCAAATATCAATTAATCATCAAGCATTAGCTATTCCAAATGACTGTACCTAACCTCCATCTCATATTCTTCCTCAGCTTGCTTCAATATTTTGCCATAGCCAGAGCTGAAGCAGATGGCTCTATTTATATAGGCAATAAAGATGCTGTTTATATCCACCATGATTCTGATCCTCTTGATGGCGGCAAAGGGGGCTCAGCGTCCGAAGGTAAAGCTGTCCTTCTAAATGGCTAATTATTTATCTACACGTCACCGATTTTGAGATTTATATTACTACTCCTCCGGTCTTTAAGATAAAACCCATTTAACTAATTTGATTAGATTAAAGAAGTTAGGTAAGTTAGTTAATTATAAAAAATATGACACGTTTTTCCTAAAATACCATAATCATCTTTCTTAATACTTCTCCTCCTCTTCTACTTGATTATGGTTGAGGGAGTATCTATAGAGATAATTTAGAGAAGACTGATAAATATGAGAAATTGATCTTATATTTAGGACCAAAACCAACTCAACAATTAAGTCCTATATTAAGAACGAGAGGAGTACTAGTTTTTAATGAAACCTTAATCAAGGTCCAAAAAAAAAAAACCGTAATGTGGGTCAAGTTCACAATTTTGTCACATGTTCAACGAATGAAGGCTGTCTGGCTCAAATGACCGTATGACAGCCCTTATTTGCGTGGGCCAACTTTGTCCATTTTGATCTAAGAAATTATTTTTTGGATAATAAAAAATAAATTATTTTATTGTACCTTAAGGGAAAATTTAGGGGGGAAAAAGATAACATTTCATTTTTACTACTTTCAGTTCTTAATATAAAAACTCATTTGATTTTTATTTTGATTCTAAATATAAGATCCTAATTCATTGTGTCTCTCATATTCATCTTTTTTTTTTTCTAGGTTGTCCTTGTAGTAATGATAATTCTAACCAATACACTTAATTAACAAGGATATTTTAAGAAAGATAACACCTATTTATTATAAATAATTAATTTAAATAATTTTTTTAATCTACTTAAATTAAACAACTAACTCTTATATTAACTGTCAGTGTTATAGCAATTATTTTATTGCGCAGGAGGTAGAAAAGTCCGGTCCCGGATCATTATCGCGATGGTCATCCCAGTCGTTGTTACTGTCCTGCTGTCCTATTTCGTCATCTATTTGCTGCGAAGGAAGGCAAGGAGGAGATATGCCATTCTCAAAGAAAGCTGTACGTTTTATGAAATAGAAAATAGAAAATCAAACCAACCATGCTCTTCCTATATATATATATATATATATATATATATATAATCCTCTGGTCCTGTTTGTAAAACAGAAAGAGAAGAATTTTTTTTTTTGGTCTTATTTATAGGACACTGATGATGCCTCTGTCGTTAAAGCACTCAATTTAACTAGGTCCCAACTAATTTGTAGTTTAGGGTCGACCTAGGTCATTACTTCCAAGGAGCAAGTTATGGGTTTCTTTAGGTAAAAATTCAAGTGATAAAAAAATGCAATAAATTGGACCTAAACTAAAATGCAAAATTCTAATTCTAAATGGAAAATGCAAATATCCTAAAATCTATATGAAAATTAAATTAAACTAAATAAATGCAATGCAAATTTTTGGGGGTTTTTTGAAGGAAAATAAAAATAATGAATAAAGAAAATTAATCAGAAAGTAAAGAGAATTAACAAGTAAAAATTCAGAGATTTCTCTTCAGGTACGGTAGAGGGGACAACTTAGGATTTGCATGGATTTAACCTTCATAACCTCAATCAGTTAATTAAACCAAAGGGAAGTGATAAGAGAGTGGAATTAATAAACTTAATTACCTACTTGAAATAAAGGGAACCCTTAACCTCAAAAACCCTTAAACCATTAGAGAACTCATAACAGTATAAGGTTGGTCAATTAAGCTTATTAAAACCAATGAAGATATCTCAAATTAATTCTGGAAATTATGTTTGAAATCATCCAGTTAAACAACTAGACAATTAACCAACTTAATTAAACAATTAAGAGGCAAAAGAACCCAAATTTTGCAATTCAAACCACATTGATAATTAAACTCATAATGAAAACTCAATTATAAATTCAATTAACAATGCAAAGGTTCCAAACATATATTCCAACAAGTATCTTGGCACAAATAAGATCCAAATATCAATTTAATCCAAGAATAAAATTGACAATTTAGAACTAAATTGTCTCAACAAAATTACAACTTGAACTCATTTAAAACTAAACAATTCCAAGTCCTTGAATTAAAAAGATAAATGAAACATCACTTCCTTATGGTCTTCAAGTGCTAGCCCAAGGCTCTAGTCTTTTCCATGCTCCTCCCAAGTTGCCTCCCAAATAAGCTTAAGCTTCCATGGTATTATCTCCTCCTCCAAGCTCCTTAGCGCAATTCATGGGCATGTGATGCAGTGTGATGATTCAAGTTAAGAGATCAATTGATTGAATGGATGATGATGGAATATGGTAATAATAGTAGCTGGAAGTCAAGGACGTGTTGCTCTCTTGTGACCGTGGAATGAAGGAGGAGATTTTGACATCCCATTCCCTTTCGTGCGTTGAATGGAGAAGGATAAAAAGGTATGATTTGGCGGTGGATTGTCCTCTCAAATAAGGAAAATATTTTGATGGGGGAAAGGAAATTTTTATGAATCTAAAGCTCAAGCCCATTAGTAATTAATTGGCCCACTTGATATTAGCTATTGGATTGTGCTTAAATCCCAAGAAATAATCTTGCACCATTGGATTTCCTATGTGCCCTTTCTTGATCTACAAGAATTTAAGTGCATCTATTAATGTAGATTATGTCCAAGTATAATCAAAAATAAAATATTAAATCTGCACAAAGATTAGGTAAGAAATTGCAAAACTTTCTAAAAGTAACCTTTCTAAAAATATGAGACTTGTTTTCAAAGAAATAGAAAAAATTAATTCCAAGTCAAAAATAGGAAATCCCAAAATAATTATATTTTTAATCTAAAATCTCAATTTTTATGCAAAATCCAAAAATCAACCAATTTATCCAATAATGCATAAAAAGTTCATTTAAGCTCAAAATTATCATTTAAATTCTAATTTAATGTGGGATAAAATGTATAAAAATTGGACTTTATCAGACACTGAGAGAAATTTTTTTTATATGGATGTACAATTTTACGTTTCATTTATTATTGTGTTAACTTTGTTTGCATGAGATATAATACATATTAAATAGGAATAAAATAAGAAAGTTGTTGAATTTTAAATGAAAATTAATGAAGTTAAGTTTTTTCTTGGTCTGTGTAAAACATATTGGATGTGACTTATAAATAGAACCAGAAGAGTATATATATGTGTATTATGCCTAGAATGGATATGCTTACTTGAAAAGTACACATATACATTGGTTTGGTTGGAACTGAACGTACTACTCTGGAGTCACTGCAATTCGATTTCACTACAATTGAAGCTGCAACAAACAGGTTTTCAGTTCAGAACAGGATAAGTCAAGGAGGATTTGGAGAAGTTTACAAAGCGAGAAATTATTTTATATCCATAATGCAAATGTTAACATCTTTTTAACAGTTACCTATAGTACCCAGTACTAATGACTAGTCCATATTTGAGTAACGCTGCAAATGCTAATTTTTTACTTATGCATGATCTCAGGGTACTCTTTCTAATGGACAGAAAATTGCTGTGAAGAGACTCTCCGCGAGCTCCGAACAAGGCACCCTGGGATTTAAGAATGAGATTTTACTAATGGCTAAACTTCAACATAGAAATCTAGTGACATTGTTGGGATTTGCTTACAAGAGCATAAGAAGATACTCGTTTGCGAATTTGCACCCCACAAAAGCCTCGACTACTTTCTCTTTGGTTTGGCATTTACGTTTGCTCTGAAGGTTTTTTCATCTTTATTTTTCACCAGCATATTTACTGTTGAAGTCTAACACCTTTATATTGTTATTGTTGATTTTGCAGATTCTCAAGATCAACTCTTGTCAAATTGGTCCAGGCGCTTTAAAATCATTGAAGGGGTTGCTTGAGCAATTCTTTATCTTCATGAGCATTCGCGTCTTAAAATTAAATATCATGATCTTAAACCTAGCAATATCTTATTAGATCAAAACATCAATCCAAAGCTTTCCCATCGTGGAATGGCAAAAATGGTGGCAATAGATCAACACCAAGAAAGAACAAGGAGAATGGTTGGGACACAGTGAGTTAGTGAATGCTGAATTCCCCACCCCACTTCATTACTTTGTTCTTCTATTTGTTCCAACATGTAAAATGTTGTTTCTCATTCGCTTATATTGGCTGGATATTTTTCTTTTTTTGCAGCGGCCATATGCCTCCTCAATATGTAAATTTTGGAAGATATTCAGAAAAATCAGATATCTTTAGTTTTGGAGTTATAATGTTGGAGATTATAAGTGGGCGGAAAAACTCTTGTTCTTATGAATTACCCAGCATTAATGGCCTCCTAACTTACGTAAGTTGTTACTTGCTATGACTTTTACCTCTAAAACATATCACGTGACGAATTGTACGCATTCATTATACTACCTTTGATTTTTAATATAAGATCTTGTTTGACTTTTATTTTGGTCTTAAATATAAGACCCTAATCCCCTTTGTTTTTCATATTTATGCATTTTTTCCTAATATAGTCCTTCTAACAATGGTAGTTCTAACCAATAAACTTGATTAGCAATGATATTTTAGGAAAGACAACACCTATTTATTACAAATAACTAACTTAATTTCTTTTCTTAATTTTCTCAAATTAGTCAACTAGCTCTATAATTAGGACCAGAGGCAGTATTTTTGTCAAATTTCAATAGATAAATGTTGATATAAATAAGTTGAAGCAGTGATGCCATCGTGCCTCAATAATTATACCATCTCCTGATGCATAGAAAGTTATAAAAAGAAGAAAGGGCAAATATTAATTGACATATGTTTACTCTGAAAACTTTGCAGGCTTGGAACCAGTGGAGGGGAGGTGAGACGCCATTAGAAATAATCGATCCGAAGTTGAAAGAAAGTTGTTGTGAAGCAGAAGTGATGAAGTGCATCCAGATTGGATTATTGTGTGTTCAAGAGAAACCACAGTATAGGCCTCCCATGTCAAGAGTTGTTTCGTATTTAAGTAATCTTTCTGTGGAATTACCATTTCCTCGCGAGCGCGCATTTTATATTCATGGTAGGAGGGACCCAAATTCGGGTCATCCTTCTGCTTCTGCCAACAATTCCATTCCATCTTCTGTCAATGAAATGTCTATAACTTCATCTTTTCCTCGTTAGTATATATGAAGCTTTGTACTTCGGAATCATTGTCAAATTTCCTTCTTACTCCCTTTTTACGCCCAAAAAGATGAAATATTCTGGGTCGATCTTCAAGTGTTGGATCGCAAAAGGATATGAACTTTAAAAAAAAAGAAAAAAAGACTACTTAATTACCTAGATGTTATCTGTATGTGAATATACATTCTTGCTGTACATTTTACTTTATTATTTAAATGCTAAAATTAATGTATAATTATTACAGTATTTTCGTATGTTCCTTTTTTAACTGTGTCTTTTCCCCAACAAAAAAAAAGGTAGTTATGGGAAATGGTAATCCTGATTCCTAATGAAAAATAAAATGACTTAGATCTTGGAAAAAGTTTAAGCAAGTTTGGGTCCCCAAGAATTCATGTATTATTGACAAAGCCCAACTATATAGAAACACAAGAATCAGCCGGTTTGAAAAATGCTACGGTCCAGCCTGGAAACCTACAACAATAGAAGAGAGGAGCCATTTCTGGCTTTAGCGATGCCTATCACATTATGACCGCATCATTACTATTACGCGCCAGCCTAATAATCTCAATATTATTATGACTGCACGTATCATTATCTGTTATTGAAAACAACACCTTCATTTAATTTTTTTTAAAAAGTTTTTTTGAAAAAAAACTGAGGATGGACTATAATTTCATGTTACATTATTTCAATTTTTAGAGCATTCTTCTCGAAAGAATTTTGAAGTCAACTGCGGTCTATGTACGCTTTAATTAATAAAGTAGTGTTGATAATACATATAGGTGGCAAAGTCAGAATCATTCCGTAAAATCCTCATCTTACTCCCTCTCGTCTCCATTAAACCAGACTGTATCTTGGTGGTCCACAGCCAATACACATATTCACACTATTTTTCTACCATTTCACTGGTTCTATTTAATTTCTGGTCGTTCTCATGGGGCCTGCCATTTTTGACTTTTTTGGACAAGTCTTCACAAATACCTTCGTCAATTTTTTCCGATGACAATAAGCTAAGAGCATAATATTTGGAATCCATTATAATTGTTCGTAATTTCCACGCTCCTCACGATTCACGACGCCATCTGGGGCGATAATTCAGGTCTGCTACTTTATTCTTCGCAGAAAAAAGAAATACTTATATCAAATTTATTATATTTATTATTTCAAATTTTCTAATCACACAGTTATATATCCGATTTTTTATGTAAATTTATAATTAAATAATACTGCCTCCGATGCCTAATATAAGACTCAACTGGTTAATTTGGGAAGATTAAGGTAATTGTTAAATTACTTAAAGTACTTATATTTGTTGTTTTTATCCAAACTAATTTGCCTCACTTATAAATTGATAATACATAATCTAATGATATATATAAATATTTTAGAGAGTGTTATAATTAAATAATTTAGTAACTTTCTTAATTTCTCTCAATTAGTTTTTAGTCAAATTAGTGAAGAACGTCCTGATTTAATATCAATGGACCTTTTAGTCATTCTCAGCGTGTCTTCCTCGTTACAAGTTCTTGTCTCCATCATGTGAAAAATTATTGTAACAGACCAAGATGGATATCCATTTAATGTAGACTCCCAGTTAAAGTCTTATTTATGCTAGAGCCCTTAAAAACAAACGAAAATGATCCAAATGCCCATCGTTGCCCCTTTTATGCTCAATCGTCAGATGTGCGCAGCGATTCTGGTGAGCTTCCGCTTTGGAAATTTGATCTGATTGAGAGACTGAGAGCCCAGAGTGGATACACTGTACTGACTTCAGGCTTCAAGCTTCACGTTTGACTTCAAGGTCCATCTTCTTTTTATTTGCATTCTTAGTTAGTGCTGGTTTGAAGTCACTTAAATAAATATATTTTATGTAAGTCAAACTAAACTTTTTCTCATATACTTACCTCATATTTCGTAAATAATGATTAAAAAACTACTTATAAGACATTCCAAACGGGCCTTTAGTCCTCCAAGAAAAATAACATTAGGTTAATATAAATTTTTATCCCTCAAGTTTGTCCTAGTTTTAGTTCTAGTTTTTCAAATTTCAAACCATAGATTTTGGTTTCTCAAATTTCTTTGTATTTAAAATATTAGTTTCTATAATTCAATAAAAATCTAGGTCATTTTGCCCTTTTAAGGGACCAAAACCTATTATTTAAAACTTGAGGGACCAAAATCAAAATAGAGTAAATTTGAGGGAATAAAGATTATATTAACTCAATAACATTTTTAAGGGTCTTGGGATTAAATATCCTTCCATTTTGTCATTATACATTTATTTTGTGAAAGGAATCGTTTAAGCAAGTTTAGTAAGATCTTCTTTTGCATTTTTCTTTCTATTGGTTTAAATCATGACCTCTAACCAATTCCTCCGATCGATGAGATGCTCCCCAGCTTGCCAGTAAAAGACACCCCCGAACACCGACCATATAGCTATTACCTTACCTTAAACACCTCGAATAATACACCCGACTGTCGTCACAGTTATCATGTTCGTCATTAACATGCCTTCCCACAAAATTATGTTACTCTTTTTCTTTATTAGCTTTCTCCATTCTGCTACTACTCAAGCACAACCCGTCTATACTAACAGCAGCTGTTCTGGCCGCGCCTTCGCTGCCAATAGTTCCTTCCAATCCGACCTCACCAACCTGCTCTCTTCCTTAGCTTCCAACAAAACCGCCAACAACGATTTCTACAACACCACCGTGCACCGCGGTCGCAACACCATATACGGCCTCTTCATGTGCCGGGGTGACGTCACCCTCGAGTTGTGCCACCAGTGCGTCGTTGACGCAACGAAAAATATACGCTCCCAGTGTAACGTCTCCAGGGAGGCCGTGATATGGTACGAGGAGTGTATGGTTCGCTATTCCGACCGCTACTTCTTTTCCTCCGTCAACACCAGTGCTGGCAGCTGCGGGGCCAACACCAACAACGTGGCCAACAACCAAACAGGATTCATGAATTTATTGTCGACAACTATGAACAAGGCGGCCGACGAGGCGGCCAAATCTGGTATGGGGAAGAAGAACTTTGCGACAGAAGAAGCGAGTTTACAGTTTCAAACTATGTATTGTCTGGTTCAGTGCACGCCGGACCTTTCTCCCCAAGGTTGCAGAACATGTCTGAGAGACGCGATTGGGGACCTTTTCAACTGTAGTTTCAACAAGATAGGAGGAAGAGTTTTATATCCCAGTTGTAACGTTCGCTATGAATTGTTCATCTTCTATAATTCTAGTGGTAAGCCAGCATCGCCGCCTCTTCCTGCAATTTTTCCTGCAACTTCTCAAGGTAAATTTAAACTTGCATATATGCTTCTCTTTCTTAATTGTTTGTTTGTATTTTTTAATATTTTTCGAAAGTAAAACTTCTTAATTCTCTACACACACATTACGCCAAAAAATGACTTGGTTGAAAGTGGACAAATCTTCTTACGAGTTACGACTCGCTATTGAGACATGAAAGTGTCTGATGTTTATACAGGAAAAGCAAAGACCATTGTGATAGTTGTGGTTTCTGTTGGTGGTGGGGGGATACTTTTTTCTTTGGTGTACTATCTCTTAAGGAGTTTAATAAGGAAGAGACGGAGGGCTGAACTCAGACAAAAATACTGTGAGTAAATTTTCATTCTATCTCTTTATTCCTGCAGTCTACTTGATAGGAAGTGTTGTGGTGATGTTTTTAATTAATATACATTGATTTGTTTCTTTATTTTGTGTTTATTTGTCTAGTTGGAGATGAAAGCAACACTTTAGAGCCTCTGCAATTCAGTTTGGCCACTATTGAAGCCGCAACAAATAAGTTTTCACAGGAAAATTGTTTAGGCCAAGGTGGATTTGGACAGGTTTACAAGGTGATCCATGCCATATATCGATATAAATTTTGATTGTGTCCCTCTCTAACTATATATATATATATATATATATATATATACCTGCGCGCCCGTGCAAATACAATTCATTTTTAATTTAATCAACTATGATTTTAGGGTATTCTTTCAAATGGTCAAGAAATAGCTGTAAAGAGACTTTCAAAAGGTTCAGGCCAAGGGGCAGCAGAATTTAAAAATGAAGTATTATTAATAGCCAGACTGCAGCACAGAAATTTGGTGACCTTGCTGGGATTTTGCATAGAAGATCAAGAGAAAATTCTCATTTATGAATATGTTCCCAATAAAAGCCTTGACTACATCCTATTTGGTTTGGTTCTTCTAAACTTTTTCATAATTTTTTTTATTGAAATTTAAGGTTATCTTTATTTGTATGGGCATGTCCATCGTCACTCACAAAAATAAAAAAAATCATGTGTGCACAGGTTCCCAGGAAAATAGAAGACTAACTTGGGAGGAGCGTTATGAAATCATAAGAGGAGTTGCTCGAGGAATTCTATATCTTCATGAATATTCTCGTCTTAAAATTATACATCGTGATCTTAAACCTAGCAATATTTTGTTAGACAATGAAATGAATCCAAAAATTTCAGATTTTGGTCTCGCTAGGATGGTTGCTATCAATGAAAATGAAGGAAATACAAGGAGAATTGTCGGAACATAGTAAGTTATATTTTCTCTCTCCTTGACATTTACATTTATCTTGCTATAGTTGAATAAGGAAAAATAAGTTTTAGGTGACACCAAAAGGTTGCCTTCCATGTATCACTTAAGTGTCAAAATTAATCTTATCTTCTAATGGATTAAGTTTCATTATTGATATTATTTTCTTTTTTAGTGGTTATATGCCTCCAGAATATGCGATGTTCGGGCTATATTCTGAAAAATCAGATGTTTTTAGTTTTGGAGTTATAATTTTAGAAATTATCAGTGGAAAGAAGAATGCAAGTTGTCATGATGAATCGCAGTATGCTGATAGCCTCTTAAGCTATGTAAGTTATGATAATATGTTGATTTCATTAATATTTCTTATGCAGTCATCTTCATTTGATGAATGGTTGAAATAATGAGTTTTACTTAATTGTTGCAGACGTGGAATCAATGGAGTAATGAAAAGTTGTTCGAGATGTTGGATTCAAATCTAAAAGAAATGGAATCTTATAATGAAGTGAGCCGGTGCATCCAAATTGGATTGTTGTGTGTTCAAAGGCATCCAGATTCAAGACCTTCCATGGCTACAGTTGTTTCATATCTGAGCAATGATTCAATTCAGTTGCCACATCCACAGCAACCTGCTTTCTTTTTGCGCGCTCGAAGGGTACTTACTTCTGCAAGTAGAGAATATAGCTCCATTAATGAAATGTCTATGAGTGATTTCTTTCCTCGCTAGTTCCCAACCATACAAGCCTGTTCTATATTATTTCTTCTTCATCTTGGACACCAAGCTCCATTATGTGTAACATCTAAATGACATAACTTTTATAAGAGTTTTATATTATACATATAGATGTGTATATTTTCATTACTTTTGTTTAATTTCATTCTGCATAATAAATACGTGATCATTTTTTTGAAGACAAGAATAAATCTTGCCACGAGTTTATAAGCACAATCTGAAACATAAGTGTGGGTCACATGATAATAGGGACGACCAGGAAAAGCTGTCATCAATTGGAGAAAATAATGAGAATAACACCCGACAAGAGCTAAACCAACGTTGGTTTAAACTTGAGGAAAAAGCTCATAGTTTTTGTGTGAAAATATATAGTAGTATTACAGATTTTCATCAATGGCTGGCTCCGATGACTGCTCTAACTCATTGGCTTAAAGCTACGCCATATATCATTAAGAGCATCATCTACTTCTAAACCCAATCCCAAGCTCACAACTTTGTCTCTGCAACCACTTTAAACTCTGCTCCTTCCGTAAATGCTAGCATAAAAATAAGACTACCACGCTAAAGCAAGCCCTGGAACATCATATATGGGTCTCGTCTCATGATCGGGACTATATATAATATTATAAATTTTTCAGATATATTTTTTACTGTTCTTTTCCCATCATTTAGAGCCTAGTTAGGTCCACCACCTTCATAATTTGATCCATTCAACACGGCTTCTAGTCTTCGGCGCCACTAGGAGGTAACAGACGTATGTAGTAGGGCCACAATCATAATAACAGTTTGTGATTGACGTCCTTTCTCCCTTGGATGAAGGTAAAACTTCAATAAAAATAATTCAAGACTTGTTAGCTTGTTTGACCAAGTCTATTAGAATCCATTTTCGTACGTACCTGATTAGTTCTTTGACTGAGAATTAATATCTTTGATTAGAGTATTGCTTATATATAATTCGCCAGAGTCAGTATCACGAAAGTTACTCTTCTAAGTCCATAATTAATCTGTAGTTTCGTTTAATCCACGTATTAGTTGCCAAGGATGCCTGCACTGTGTAAACTAGTACCGGATGACGCCTTTTGGGGCGTTCTTCTTGGATGACACAATAGGATGCGCCATAAACTAATATTACTCATTATTTGTTATTGAAAACAACACTTTCATTTAATTAATTTCTCAAAAACTAAAAAAAAACTGAGGATGGACTATAATATTATGCTATATTATTTAATTTCAATTGCGGGTCTAGCTGAATTGGTTTTATTTGGAGCCTTCTCATCAAAATATCTTTTAGGCAAATGCGTACAATGCATGTTTGATTCAATATATTAATAGTGTCGTGTAGATGACAAGTCTTGGAGTCTTCTTTTTCGATGATACCTTAGGATGTGTCACTAACTAATTAATATTGCTCATTATATATGTCATTTTAATTTTATTTCTCAAAATAAAAAACTTGAGGATGGGCTATCGGATCAAGTTGGGCAGGCTTTGGAGCATTCTCGGAAGACTTTTAAGGTCAATTGCGGTGTATATACGCTTTAACTAATGAATTTCTGTGGATAACAAATTTTGGAGGCTTCTTTTTGGATGACACCTAATTAATTCGGATGTGCCATTAACTAATATTCAAAACAACATTTTGTTTTCACTAAAAAAATTTTGTTTTAGTTTCCCAAAATAAAAAAAATTAAGGATGGACTATATAATTCCGCGCTAGCTATATTATTTCATTTGCTGGTCAAGCTGAATTGGCTTTGGAGCATTCTCAAAAGATTTTTGAGGTCAACTGCTGTGTATGTACGCTTTAATTAAGAAATTGTGTGATAAATAGTGGGGAAATAAGAATTTTTCTACATTTAAAAATTATTAATTAATATTAATCTATATTTACAATATATATCATAAATGAATTACACACATTATGTAACTATTTCAATATTATGAACAAATTTCATAATTATCAGTTTTTCACGACTGTCCGAGTCTCAGCCCCATTTTTCTTCAGTCTCCCTATCTCAATTAGTAGCTTGTTCACGTCATGAAGTCATTGTATGATGTGCAAGAACTTATGCGGCAGAAACAGGAAATTTGCTTAAAAGTATTAAATAGCTCAGATATTTAAGAAAAAGGACATGATAACTTGCTAAATATGAAAAAAAATTGTAAAATTATAAAAAAAAATTGCAGATTCTAAATTTAGTCTTCTTTCTAATTTTGGCTTGCAGTGTAATTTCACAATTCTTTATGTTAGATTTGTATAAAATTTCTTGAGAAGTCTTATTATAAATCCATCCCTATAATATCATTTGGATCGGCAGAATGACACAAGCAAGTGATGTTGCTGGTTTAAAAAAGAAAAAAAAGATGTTGGCGGCATTTTATTGATCTTTGGGAGTATTAATTAAAAAATTTCTCTGTGTGCTTGGCTGAAATTGATAGCTATAGATGATCTAAAAAAATCTTTCTTGATCTTAAGTTAAAACATAAACTGTAGAAAATTTTGGAACACTCATTTTTCCTACCGAGATGATGGAAAAAACCTGACAAGCTTGACTTGGCCATTGAGTTGCGCTAACCTTCTCTGCGTCATCATCGGTTAAAACTGACCCCCTTTCGCTGCCATTACGATTGCCCTTGTTCCTCCGCGGCCCACTTGCCATCAAAATTCACTTCATCACAAAATTAAACTCAAACTATAAAGCATTATCCTCATCTCAAACGCCATCAATAACATACCCTTCACCCTTAATTGCCATGACCTACAACATTATAATTTTGTCACTCTTCTTCTTCATCGGCTTCCTCCTCAATTCTTCTTCTGCTCAAGTCATAGGTCGTAATGATCTTTACCCTCAGTGCTCCACCGGCAGTAATTTCACTGCCAATAGTACCTTCGACTCTAACCTCCAAACTCTATTTTCTCCCTTAACTTCCAACAAAACCGCCAACCTCGACTTCTACAACACCACCGTTGGCCGCGGCGGCGAGACTGTAAACGGCCTCTTCAGGTGCGTGGGTCCCGTCAACCAGGACATATGCCGCCAGTGCGTAGCTAACTCAATCCTACAGGTAGGCTCCGTATGCCGATTTTCGAAGGAGGCCGTAAACTTGGGGGGGGGGGGCGGTCAGTGTTTGGTTCGCTATTCCAACCGCAGCTTCTTCTCCACTGTCGATACAAGGCCTAGACTCCGAATGTTGAACCCTAACAATGTCTCGAATCAGGCTGGATTCATGAATGTATTGACGATTATTATGAACCAGACGGCGGACGAGGCTTCCAAGTCTGCTGTGATGAAGCAGAAGTTTAAGACGAATGCGGTGGTGGTAGAGTTTCAAACTATGTACGTTCTGGTTCAGTGCACGCCGGACCTTTCGTCGGCGGATTGCAGAAGGTGTCTGAGCGGAGTGATTGGGGACTTTAGATGGTGTTGCGATGGGAAGATCGGAGGAAGAGTGCTATATCCGAGTTGCTTCGCTCGTTATGAATTGTATCGGTTCTCTAATTCTTCTACGCCTCTTCTGCAAGTAAAGCTGCCGCCTCCTCCGGCTCTACTTCCTGGTAAGCTTCATAATTATATGCTTTTCTGATTTCTTTTTTCTAATTAAGTAAATTAGAGTAAATCTATTCATGAAAAAGATTAATTATATATGCTGATTTCGGGACCAAAATAGTCATTTCAAAACATGACATTAAAGAAGAGCAACCGTGAGTCCTCATTAGAGGCCTATCGAATCAATGAGCTCCAAGCGCTGAGCGGCCAAACGGTGTCGCATCATCGACAGTGAAACGCTGAAAAGATTTCTCTCTCCATCCACGTGAAAATTGATGCCCCATCTCCTTTTATCCTCTTAGGCTATAGTCACTGCCCTTTTCTTTTTTGTTTGTTTTTTAAAACTCACTCACTTTTTTTATTTAAATATCTTTATAATTAAAAATTCAAACATAGCAATTATTTTTTAAATTAACACATATATATACTATATGCGCTATAAAATTATGTTTAGACGAAACTTAAACCTTCTACAATATCTTACAAAAAATGTTAACTAACACACCTATAGATCTTACACAAGATAAGATGCATCTTGAAATACTCCTTTGGTTCTATTTATAAGGCACTTCCAGCATGTTTCACACAGACCAAAAAAACTTTAAACTTCATTAACTCTCATTTAAAATTTAGTAACTTTTCAACTTTATCTCTATTTAATATATACTATACCTCATGTAGACAAAGTCAACACAATAATAAATGAGGGTAAAATTGTACATCTATACAAAAAATTTCTCTCAGTGCCTTATAAATAGGACCAAAAATTATCTTCTCTCTCTGCCCTATAAATAGGACCAGAGGAGTACTTGTTAAGTAGCGGCAGCGTTTGACCGCTGAGCACCGGCTACTCATCCATTCGAAGAAAACCTAATGCAGACTCGAGGAACCGTGAATCTCTTCACCCTTGTCAATGAGCGCATACGGAAACAGTTTCAGTGCTCATTATTTTGAAGAGTATCATATGTTCATCAAATTTAAATTATTCATATTTCATTTAGATAGTTCAGATTATTTTTATTTTTATTTATTCAAATAATTATTTTAATATGTATAGAATTAAAATAAGGATAATCTCTTAACTATCATTCTTTCAAAAAAATAGTTTTTTATTTAAAAATAATTAATTAAATATTTTAAATTTGAACCATCTAAATGAGATATAGATAGTCCAGATCTGATGATGTTTATCGTACTCATCAAAGTGATGAGCACCGAAACTAGTTCCGCATGCGGTGATTCGTAAGAACCACTTTTCGGTGTTTATCGTTTTGATGAGTACCTTAAACTCATTAAATCTAGACCGTTTATATCTTATTTAAATAGTCTAGATTTGATTTATTTTCTATTTTTATTTATTCAAAATAATTATTTTAATATGTATAGAATCCAAAATAGAGATAATCTCTAAAATGTGATTCTTTCAAAAAATTTTTTTTCTATTTAAAAATAAATAATTAATAATTTTAAATCTAAAATATTCAAATCAAATATAAACGGTTTGGATTTGATAAGCTTGGAGTGCTAATCAAAGTGATGAGCATTGAAACCGGATCTGTGACTCATATGGTGCCAAAAAAAATATAATATTATTATTTTTAAAATTTTTGGGGAGTAGGGAGGTGGGAGGAGACTATTCGTCTATAAGATTGCTATGAATGACCACAAAAAATAAATCATTATCCTCGACGTGTTCAGATTTAAGTTGGGGCTCTAGCCCACATTCTGTATAAAAATAAATAAATCACTGTAAATATTTAAAATATTGTTTTCAAAAGTCTCATGCTCATGACCAATTAATGATTTAGTTTCTTATAGATTGTTTTTTGGTATATGAAAGATACGTATATATAGATTGAGGACACAGTCAAAGAAGTAAAAGAAATAATTTTAATTTATGATGGAAGTAAAAGGTAGAAATTAAATAGTATATCATTTTGTTCATAAAATAAGACGCCGCAATTTATTAAGAAGTTTGAACGTGCTTTTTCTGAAAAATATGCATTTGAGATATCTTAAAATATCAAGGGAGGAAGACGAAAATTTATAGGGGAAGCATTTTTTCCGCTGAAAGCAATAATATTATTTTAAATATTTTAACATTTATTTGGCCAAAAAAATATTTTAACATTTAAATTACTTAATAAATTTTATATCCACGAGCTGTCCCGCAACTCAATTTGGAATCATTGAAAGAGAATCATGTGAATGCACATATGAATCTTTGCGAGTTATGCGCAGACTTCGGTTTTGCCGTTTTGCGTCTTGGTGTTCCGCCGACACCACTTTGGGTAATTCAAATGATTCATGTTCGATCCTGTTTACACATGACTCAAAAAATTGACTTGCTTGGAGGTTAATAAAGACTCAAATGGCTTTTAGCTCTAGCTTCAATATATAGGCTAATTATTTAGAGACATGGTGATAAGGAGTGACATTGAGACGCGGAAATATTCTATATACAGTAAAAAGGAAAAGGCGATTAAGGACTATTTTGATAGCTGTGGCTTCTCCTGTTGGTGCCATGACACTTTTATGCTTCGCCTACTATTTATCAAAGAATCAGATAAAGAAGATACGTATGGCTTTTCTCATGCGAGAGTACTGTAAGTAATTTTCATTCCATTTCTTCACTACTCACACAGTCTGGCTAGCTAGTTGGAGAGTGGCGATACTTCTCGTATGCTTTAATATCATGGTTTATTGTCTAGTTGGAAGCGAAAGCAACACTTTAGAGCCTCTGCAATTCGGTTTGGCTACGATTGAAGCAGCGACAAATAAGTTTTCAAAGCAAACTAGTTTAGGTCAGGGTGGATTTGGACAAGTTTACAAGGTGAGAAATGCCGTCGATGTGTAAATATTGTGATATTATACTATTGGTTATATTGTTTTTCCTGTTTAATTTAATCAACTATGACTTCAGGGCATTCTTTCAAATGGCCAAGAGATAGCGGTAAAAAGACTTTCGAAAAGTTCTGGCCAAGGAGCAGAAGAATTTAAGAATGAAGTTTTGCTAATAGCCAGGCTCCAGCATAGAAATTTGGTGGCCTTGCTAGGATTTTGCATAGAAGAGCAAGAGAAAATTCTCATTTATGAATATGTTCCCAACAGAAGTCTTGATTACTTCCTGTTTGGTTAGACTCTTCTAAACTCATTTTAACTCAATCGAAATTTATATACATTCGTGTTATCAACATTTGACACTCGCTATCTCATATATGCTAAAGTTAATTACTTGCTTTCAATTATCTTTGTTTAATTTGTCAGTCTAGTCATTAACGATAGCTTTATATGTATAGGTTCACAAGAAAGCAAAGTGTTAAATTGGGAGGAACGTCACAAAATTATTGGAGGAGTTGCTAGAGGAATTCTTTACCTTCATGACTATTCTCGAGTCAAAATTATACATCGTGATCTCAAACCTAATAATATTGCTAGATGATGAAATGAACCCAAAATTTCAGATTTTGGCATGGCTAGGATGGTTGGATTCAATGACATTGAAGGAAGTACAAATAAAATTGTTGGAACATAGTAAGTTATAAGATTTCCTTCAAACTCTTTTACCTCTATATCATGGCATGGCTGAATAAACAAAAATAAGCTTCTATGATAAGCCCACATAAAAGTTCGTCTTTCATTTTTTTTTTCCAATTTAAAATGTCCAAGTGTGTTGCTTGTTAGCTATAAGAACAAGATTTATGATTGATATATATTTTTTCCAGTGGTTATATGTCTCCAGAATATGCAATGTTTGGACAATATTCTGAAAAATCAGATGCTTTTAGCTTTGGAGTGAGATAGTATTAGAAATTATTAGTGGAAAGAAGATCACAAGTTCTCCTGATCAATCTCATGGCCTCCTAAACTATGTGAGTTAATTATTGTAATGCGTCTATTACACTAATATTTCTTATGTAATTGTCTCAGATTTGGGAGAGATTATTTTAACAATATTGTGTGAGATATTCATAGGGTGGTGATTAAAATAGCTGAGTCCACTGAATTGTTGCAGGCTTGGAATCAATGGAAGGAAGAAAAGATCTTAGAGATCGCGATAATGGATTCAAATCTAAATGAATCTGAATCGTTGAATGAAGTGAACAAGTGCATCCAAATCGGGTTGTTATGCGTTCAAGAAAATCCAGAAGCAAGGCCTTCTATGGCTACAGTTGTTTCATATCTTAGCAATGATTCAATTCAATTGCCATTTCCCCAGGAACCTGCTTTCTTTCTGGAGGGCCAAATGGAGCTTAATACCGACAGTAAAGAATCAATTAATGAAATGTCTATAAGTGAATTCCATCCTCGGTAGTACGAGGCTTTTATTTCATCTTGTCCTTTGCCACCAAGACTCAATTTGGTACCTTGTTAATCAGAGAACAAGTATTTTTATGTTATTGTACCCAAATGACGAGATTCAACATAAATGGTAATGTTGATATTATTATTCAATAATATATTTTCCAATAAAAGGGCGGTGATTAAAATAATTAGCTAGACTTAATAGTTACAGGCTTGTAATCGGTGGGGGAGGAAAAGTTATCAGAGATATAGGATTCATGGATAAATATTGAATTCAGATCATATAATGGAGTGATTAGTACATCGTCGGGTTGCTTTGTATGCAAGAAAATCCAAATGCAAAGTCTTTGTGCCTGGCTATAATTGTTTTTATATCACAGCAATTATTTAACTCAGTTGTCACTTCCAGAGCAACTTTTTTTTTTTTTTTTTGCATTGTTAAATGGAGCTTACCAATTGATTTGTGAGTAAAGAATCATGCTCTACAAATGAAGTCTCGTTGAGTGAATTTTTTCCTCACCAGTAAAATCCTTTTATTTCTGCTTTTTCTTAAATGCAGATGCTCTGCTTGGTATCTACGAGATAAAAGTATTGCGCAAATTTATAAATACAAAGATAGAGCCTCTTAATGGACGGCGGAAGAAAAAAGGAGCCAAAAACAAATCCCAATCTGAAATGATCAAATTTATATTGTTATTGCACACATATTTTCAAAACAAAATACAAACCATCAATTCCCAGAGTAGAGAAAAACAAAAGTTGAAGTCTGATCTACTCCGATCTAACGAGGAAATAGTGTACTCTTCGACATTTCATTGATGGAATATTGATTGGGGTTGGCAAACTGACCCTCCATTTCTATAGTGGTTGCTACAGGTTCCATTTGACTATGTATGAAGAATACTGGTTCTTGAGGAATTGGTAATTCAATTGAATCATTACTTAGATATTGAACAACTTCATTCATGAAAGGCCTGACTTTTGGATTTCCTTGAACACACAACAAGTTGATATGGATGCATTTGATTATTTCACTGTGTGACCCAGCTTCTGTCAGATTTGGATCCAACCTCTATCAATTTTTCGTCCCTCCAATGCTTCCAAGCGTGCCATTATGTCAAATCATAAATTCAAAATAGGGCCCTACTATTAATTTGATTATAGAATATTGTTAACATAAGCTCCAATGACTGCATTGATGCTTGTAAAGATGACCACGATGAAAGGTATGAGATGATTATTTGAGAAATATTGAAAGTTTCATACTCACATTACTTAATAGTCCATCAGTATATTGAGATTCAGGATATTCATGATGAGAATTTATATTCTTCTTTCCAATAATAATTTCTAAAACCATCACCCCAAAGCTGAAAACATCTGATTTCTCTGAAAATAGTTCAAACTTAATATATTCTGGAGACATATGACCCCTGCAATAAATACATAAAATAACAAATAAATATATCAATATATCTTAGAATATTAGCACCAATCAATTTGAGCAAAATCTTGTGCCAATATTTAAATTCAGCAGCAAAGTACACGTGCAGGATACACAGGTACCTCCAGAGAAAGACAAAAATAGAAGAAAAAGAGAGAGAACTTACAGTGTTCCAACAATTCTATTTGTGTTTCCCCTCGTTTCATTAATACCAACCATTCTTGTCAGGCCAAAATCAAATATTTTTTAATTCATCTCATCATCTAACAATATGTTGTTAGGTTTGAGATCTCGATGTATTACTTTAAGACATGAATGTTCATCGAAATAAAGAATTCCTCAAGCAATTCCTCTTATAATTTTATAGCGCTCAAGCGAATTTAACCTTCTTGGCTTTTGTGAGCCTATTCATAATTAAATTACTTTGTGAGTATTAAATTAAATGACAGATATTTTCACCTCCAAGAGTAATGAAAGAATGGATAGTACTACTTATGGTCCTAATTATAAGACCTCATTTGTAGTTTACAAACACGATCTTATAATTATGACTGGAAGTAGTATATGAATAAAAAAATTGAAAAAATGGTAAGATGAGTTTGGTTAGAAGAAACAAACCAAATAAAAAGAAATCCAGACTCTTGTTGGGAACATATTCATAAACAAGTATTTTTTCTTCGTCTTTCAGGCAAAATCCTAATAGTGCCACTAGGTTGCTATGTTGAAGTTTGGCAATTAATAAAACCTCATTCTTGAATTCTAATAAGCCCTGACTAGAATTTTCTCACAATCTATTTACAGCAGTTTTGCTGCCATCGGGAAGAATGCCCTGAAATCATAAATAATCAGATAATGAGGGAGTGGGAAATACATGCAATTAATGATATACACAAGCACACACGTTGATTTGATTGCATAATTAAGTTACCTTGAAGACTTCTCCAAATCCACCTTTGCCTATTCTATTTTCACTTGAGAACTTATCTGTTGCAACTTCAATTGTTGCCAAATTGAACTGTAATGACTCTAACACAGCTCCTTCACTTCCAACTATAGATAAATGTACATTTCAAGGTAAGTACACTACAACAACATGGTTTTTCTCGCAGTTGCCTGAGTTTTCTTTCTTGTTTTCTCAAGGAAACTAATGACATCACCTTCAGATGCCGTGGAGGGAGGCTGGTCGCCCTTGTAATAAATCGGTCTTCTCCGAATCTCAAATTGCAGATCAGATTCTGAATTGTTCCTCCGTGTAAAGCATTTTCTTTTGAAACAAGAAGATTCATGATGCCATATAGACACTTGCTACAGAATTGTCGGGACAGATTCGGCGTGCACTGTACAAGAGTGTACACCGATCCCCCACTAAAGTTTGCTTCCTTTGTCGCAAATTTCTTGGCACCTGGCGTCGCCGCCTCCATCACCGCATCATTCAACGTCTTATTTAATTCTGCGTATGCATCTGGGTTTGGAGGGGGTAGCATCTCGCCGCATTGTGTTGACATTGGTTTACGGAGACAGCTGGTTAACAACGCTCTGCTAACTGTCGGCAGTTGATCGAGGGTGGAGAAGAAAGAACGGTCGGAATAGCGGAGGGAGCACTGGTCGTACCAGATGACTGCCTCTTTGTTGTAGGGACACTCTGAGGCCATTCGATTTATGGCGTCCTGAACGCAATCTCGACAGACCTGAATGGGGACGTCACCTCGGCACATGAACTCTCCATATACGTTGGCAGAGCTGGTGTTGAAGAATTCGGGAGTATCACCGCCGGCGGCCTTTTCATACAAGATACCGAAGAGAGTGTTAAGGTTGAACTGGTAGGGGCTATTGGAAGTGAAGTTTTTATTAATTGTGCAGTTGTGGTCAAAGCAAGCAGCGATGTGGACTTCAGAAGAAGCCAGATCAAAGGAGGAAAGAAGCAGAAAATAGGATAGCAGTTTCAGAAATGGCATATCCATATTCCTGCCCAATGCTTCTGCAGGCGTGGCCGTGGCTTCTGCTAAATAAAGTAAAGCAAAGCTTTCACTCGGTTGGACCTCTAACGCTACAACCGCATCTTCCCATCTTCTTCCCTTCTCATTATTGTTATTATTATTTTCCTTTTGATTGTTAAGTTTTAACTGGAACGAGAAGTATTTTCTATTGTTTATACATGATGTTTCCCCCAAAAAAAAAAAAACCAATTTATGTTCTTTGTAAAATATTAAAAATAAAAAACTGAAACATTTCATGAGTAGTCATATATCAGAATGTCTTTCATTTCGCATGTAGAATAAAGCTAATAATAAAAAGCAAAAGGGCAAAGAACAAATTAGAAAGACAGAGCATTATTAGGGGTATTAAAGGCGTGGGCCATTAGAGGCCAATAACCCAACATTATTCACGGAAGAGGAATTTCCGTGTGATTTTCATTTGCCAATGTGAAAAGGTTCACCATGCCACGACTTTGCTTGAAAGAGCCTGCTGTACGTTTACACCCGTACTATGAGTGTTTTTGGATCCAAAAAGGCAAAAACCAAGATTTATGATCTACAAAACAAGAAGAGACCAGAGAGAGAGAGCAGCCAAGATGCTCTGTTTCTACCGGTTTTAATTTCACGCAAGCAGAGCATTTAGGATCATGAGCTTTCTCATGTAAGAAATCAGCACATTAGATGGCAGTCCGAGTAAATCATATTCTTTACCCTCAATGGATGGTTAGTTCTGCCGTCTACCATTATTAATGGAAGAATGTTTTACAGTAATTGAAGAAGGGAGTGTAAGCGGCGACCTTGTTGCAGCCATTGTTTACAAAGATCAGAAAACTTATATGCTCTGGCCCATGCAGGGGACGCGAGCTTGGACCAAAATGGAAATCGAGCCCATGCAAATCTGCAATTACGCACCGTCGTAGTGCACGTGTTAGACGTATACCTTGGAGGCTGAGAGAATAAAGAGGCCGTTACGTGAGAGAGAGGGGTGTGGATTATGTGCGAGTCATTCTCTCTGACACTTCTGTTGTGATTTGTATTCCGTTGAGTAATTGTTCATACACTGTGAACGAGTATAGCTATTTCAATGTATATCTATCTTCAGATTCAATTCCATCTGTGAATTTGCAAGAGTCATAACATTATATTGTCCACAAAAATAAAGAGCAATAAGACGGTTCATAATCATAATGCACCGTCAATTTTAGCACTGTCTCACCACCAAAAAAATTGAAAAAGATGGAAAAATCAATCAGAGAAGCTTATTATAAGCAATTGAGAACACACACACACTTTCATATATAAGAAAACCAAAATAGCCTCTTAATGGATATCAGAATAAAACAGGGGGCCGATTGAAAAAACAATCCAAATTTAAAACAACTAAATTTTTATTGTTCTAGATTTTCATTCAAAGACTACTGAGGAGAAATGTTCAGCTAAGAATAACAAATTCAATTTAAATTCCAGTTATTAGCTTTTTTGCCACATATATAGTGCTTCCGATTTTAATTATAAGATTTAGTTTGTAGAATGATCTGCACTACAAACTAGCTATATCTTATGGTTAGAGTTTTGCCCCCCAACTATCTGTTTTAGATATGCATAACTTTCTTGAATTATATGTTGGCAAAAAAATTCTTGAGTTACACGTACCAAACTTTCAAAATGCATGAAATTGAATGATTGATGATAACAAATAAAAACTCAAAATGTATACATTAATTTGTTTATTTACACTTGTGCCATTTTAGATTTGGGAGTGTTTGAATGAAAACCAAACTATAGTTTTAAAAATAATTTACGATATACCAAATAAATATGTAAAAAAATTTATCTTAATTTATAAAAAATATTTTTTAAAAATATTTTTAAAGTAGGGAAACTTAATTTGAAGGTCCTTTACAGTTTTTTTTTTTTTTTGAATCAGGTCCCTCTTTTTTTTCTTTTTTATTGAATCCTTTGACCTTTTACCGTTGCATCCGTGAGTCCTTCCTGTTAAATATAAACTGACGGTGTTAGAAATTTCCGTTAATGGCCCTGAAGTTTTCCTCTCTCTTTCACCGTTGCTCAACATCGACTCCATTTCATCCCCACCAGTCTCCCAACATACAAGTGGCTCACCATTCCTTCCAATCTCTCCATACGACCTTCCCTCCGCCTAGTCGAAAAGTCACCTACACACTCTCCAACCCAAGCTCTCCACTTTTGACAATGATGCTCGCTTGCTCACTCTCTCTATCTCTACGTATATGTGTATATATATCAGTGAGGTTCAGAGTGAGAACTGTTTCTTATCGAGCTCATGGCTTGCTAGTTATCCACTCATCAACCTTAAGTGAGAACCGTTGGGTTGCCATTGAAATTCTTAGCGAGAGCCACCAGAGCTAGTTATGCACTCATCACCTGTTCTTGATGGTGACTCTGTTATCTGTGTTGGAGACAGAGCCAAACAGAGCATTTTAATAAAAGTGCTTATTTCATGTTGAAGATGAAAACTTGGGTTTGCGGAAGCACAAGTTTGTTAAACTAACCATATGGGGGCCACGCTCTTATGACTATCTTAACCGAGAAGGGCATCCATGAGAATCAATGGGGAGGGAATAAAAAGAGATATAATAACGTTTGGCCGAATTTGTGCCCGAAGCCTCATGTTGTTTTTATGATAAAACCCATGCTTATGATACCTCCTTGGACGACGAAGATTCTTATTTGTCTCCATCTCCATAAGCTCACTCCCCAACTTCTGATAAAATGCCCCCGGCGTTTATGTATTTAATCAAAGACATAATGCTTGTGCTTTTCCTATCTTTCTTGTGATTTTTTAGGAATTTCTCGCCTTTTTGGATAGGCTAGTTATATTGTTCAACCTTGCACGCAATATCACTTTTAATCAACAAAAGTGCTTATCCAGCCCCATCTAGATGAATCACAATTAGGTCGCGGGCGAAGGCGGATGATGATGAGCAAAGGTCGTCATATCATCGGGAACACCGGAGTGATGAGGTTGCAGCTACAGCGCAGGAGCAAAGCTGGTTTTGGCCTTGGGCTGTGGAGGAAACGTGCCAGTGGAAGATGTCATAGAGAGGCGGGAATGAATAGTGCCATTTGCATGTGCGAGGTGTGGGGAAGGCCGAACGGAGGTTGAGCAATGAGTGAGAGAGAGGGGGGGGGACAGCTCGGCAAATCTAACGGGAAGTTTTGACAGTGTTAGTTGTATGTAACAGCACGGCGCGATCAACTTAACGGTAAAAAGTTAAAGAATTTAATAAAAAAGAATAAAAACTGAGGTACCTGATTCAAAACAGAAGAAAACTACAGGATTGTTATAAAATGGATCCAGAATAAACCACAAAGTAGAATAGAGAAAGATAAAGACAAGAAATAAGAGAACTTTTATATTTCTTCACTTGCACTGCAACACAAATGGCATGCTTTATTTATAGACATAGTCTTATACATAGATTACAATTGTCCTTAAATGACAAATAGTAGATAATCAGTCCCATAAATATAAATAGAGGTGAGTTACAAGAGTGAATGGATAGTGAAGGAGTAATGGATAGTAGAGAAGTAATGGATGGTAGAGGTAGTGGAAGTTACTTGGAGAAGATGGAGAGGAAGGAGTAAATGGACATCCACATAATATTCACAACACTCCCCCTTGGATGTCCATTATACAAATATGTGCCTCGTTAAAAAACTTAAACTAGAAAAATCCTGTGGGATAAAAACCTAGAGGAAGAAAACGAGTATACATTTATCGATATACTATCCAGTGTTGCCTCATTAAAAACCTTACTAGAAAAACCCAGTGGGATAAAAACCATAATCAAGGAAAAAAGTACATCATGTGTTAACTTCCCTTCTTAGTAACATGAATCGATATCTCTGAATCTACAACATCCATACCATGAACAAGCTTTTCAAATATCATACAAGGAAGTGACTTGGTGAACAAATTTGTCAGATTTTCGTTGGAACGGATTTTCTAGATATATATTTCACCATCTTTTGAATATTATGAAATATTTCATCTGGAATAACCAACATTTGGATCAAAAAGGAATTTACAACCTTTATTTTAGTGTCTTCGTGTTGATGAAGAACTATATCTTACTAGTAAGTTAACAACAAATGATATGTCAAGTTATAAGTGACTGATAAGATATGATATGATAATTCTGGATATATGATTTGGTACTTCTAGACCAAATAGTTCTTCATCACATTCTTGAAATCTAAAAGGTTCTTTATTCACCTCCACAAATCTCACAACTATCAAAGTATATAATGGATATGATTTATCCATATAAAAACACTTTAAAACCTTTCTTGTATCAATTATTTGATACACAAAAATCTTCATTTCTCAAGTATGCAATTTGCAACTTGCGACAAAACTTTATTCTTCCCAAGTCGTTTATGTCAAATTCTTTCTTAAGCGATCCATAGCTTTTGTAAGCTTTTCAGGAGTTCCAATAATAATATTTATGTTATCAACATAAACAAATATAGCAAACTCATTTTCAGATCTTTTTATAAAAATGCAGGGATAAATTAGATTATTTTTATATCATTTTTTAACCGATATTTACTTAATCGGTTATATCACATACGCCCTGATCGCTTCAATTCTTATAGAATTTATTTAGCTTAATTAAGTATTGTTCTCAAGAACTTGAATTGTATGCTTCTGGCAAGTGAAATGCTTCAGAGAATTTGATATGTTTTGATCTAGAACTATAAAATGATGATACATACTGAAATTATTTTAATCTTCATAATATTTCATATACTGAAAGATTTTCTTATATATGCTCCTGGCATATTTTGGATCCTTCAAGGATTATCATGTAAATTTTTACTATTTAATTATCCTCATCTATGGGTCATCTAACATGCACATTTCATAATGCCAGATTATTCAAAGATGTAAAATTATATCCACCACAAAGTAATATGTCTCATCATAATTATTTGTGAAA